CCGATAAGCGTTTATCGAGTAAAAGTCTTCACTCTCACTTACCAGGTAAGACTCTTCATCCTTATCATTGCTCTTACTGGATAAGATTTTTGACACTTACAACGTTCATCTAGTAAGGTAAATAACCTGGTAAGTGCTTACCATCCACGTAAGCATTCGATAAACGACCCTTTCGTTGTCGTTATAATTGAACCACAAAATAGATTTGATCTCTTTCTATCTTAAGCCAACCACGAACGAGACATAATATAATTTTTCTGCCTAAAAATTGATCAGCCAAAAATAACATTAAACTTTTAAGATTGATAAAAACAAAAACCTTAAAGCAATAAATTACGGAAAAATGATTTTGAAGCATGGTGGTTTTTTAAGTAGACTTTAAAACATTATGAAGATAGGATTTGCAATTGGTCTATATAACTTAATACTTTTTCAATAAATAAAAGCTATGGTTCCAATTACAACATCAATCAAAAATTGTATGATAGTGCAAATCGAATAAAACAAACTATAATCTAATTACAAGATTAATCCAGTATAATCTAATTATGTTAAAAGATAATAGATTGGAGAGAATAAAAACTATAAATTTTCATTAATCATAAGCCGTTTAAATAAGAGCAATTACATAGAAAAAACGATAAGCATAGAAGAAGATTTACGCACCACCCAACTCAGAACAAAATCATATTGACTCTATAACAATCCATAACACGAGAGGAGGCTCAACCTACATGCATGCCCGCAATTTGGATTCTATAACGAAGAACATCTTCATTATAGACGACCTTTTCTTAGCTCCCGCATTAACTGTAAGAAATATCACAATCCATATTTTTTGTAAACCACTCGCTGGCATTGAAACTACATCGGTGGATTAGAAAAAGCACAAGAAATATAGTAGCAAATGTAACTAAAACTTGTACACAACACAATATCTAGGAAAGATGTAAGCATTATTATGCCAACTTACTTGATCACACTCTAACAACTTGGGCCAATCATTTTTGGAAATTAATTCTCTTGCCCCGTCGTATAATGAATTGAGACGGTAATTGAGATCACCCAACCGGATAATTCGACTGGAAACAAACAAAAGCTTGTAAGATGACCTTCAAACGATAGAAAAATATAACTTTGAAATAAACTATCCATTTAAATAGTTACAAGCTAGAGATTATTCTTCTTGCCACCTATCATGATCTTATTCAGGAGTACTATAGTCTACATAAGATCTGCATCGCCAGAAAAATTCAGTACGTTTATCCCTAATGTTTACCAGCAGAGGTGCTATTAGATTCATTCAGCATTTGGAACTCACAACATTGAGGAGCCTTCTACGTTGGCTTTCCTTTTTTTGTATACACAAACCTCTCGAAACAGTTTATGGACCCAGTAGGGTCTACCAAGCGCCCACAATAAATATTCCAAGCGGGTATGAAACAGAACAGTCATGGCCAAACTGGCCTGCAACTTTTGAGAAAATGTGCAAAGAAAATGTACATCCAACTCCTATTAAAATAGCTATTCATCTAGCTTTTTTATGGCAAGACCTTTACTATCAAATTATAGCACCACACATAAACCTAATATTCATTGTTCACAAGGTTACTGGAATAATAATTACAAGGAGAAGCAACATGCAGAGGGTTCTAAAGGAATCATAGTTTTCCAGTTCCTGACACCATGCTCTAACTTTGGGCAATGATTATAACAGTTAGACAAACCGGTTCATTCCAATTACAGGCAAACAATAAGGTACTATAACTTCCTCTGGTATTGACTCGATTGTCGGTATTCATATATGACTTGAAAGTACTATAGTTTCTGAAAGATTTAGAAGCTTTAAATGATTTAAGAGTTTTCAAGGTTGATACACACTGAGCCAGAAGATCCAATGATGGCTCTGGCCAGCACAAGCCTATCCTTTCAATCCCACTAAGTATTCTGGTTAACTTTCTACTATTAGCAAAAGCCGATGCTTATTTTCTTCAGAATCTTCAGTTGGAAAGTAATTTACTCTGTCCAGTCTCTTTGGGGATGAAAGCCGTCTCTCTAAGTCCCCTTTAGCTTGCATACTTGCCAGCAAATTATCATTCGAGTCAGAAGTTTTCATGCTCATATTAACATTTAGGTCTGCTGGACCATCCATGAGCTCATCAAAGTTGGATTCCTCATTGAATGGGTGGATTTCCTCCTCGCCTTCACTAGCCAATATATTTAACGTATAAAAAAACCACCAAGAGTCGGTATGAAGAGAAATATCAACTAAAAAATATATGGGCAATTGGCATTTTCCATTATCGTCTAGATATTACGTAGACAACTCATCAGCTAACGGTTTTCCATTGTCATCTTGATATTACGTAGAAAACTCATAAAATAACGGAACTCCTTGAAAAACTATCTTAACGACTCATGATGATCATGTCAATGTGTTTATATGTATATATATATATATATATATATATACTCTAATGATGTTAATTAACTTTGATATGATGGCTACATTATATCTTTAGAATAGCATGGTTGGTACACAAAGTCGGATTACACAAATGATTTAGAGAATAACCAAATCACTTACATAATCAGGACATAAAAAGCATAGCTAATAACATGATAGCGATTTAAACCAGAGGTTATCACTTACATATCTAGTCGATGCCTCAAGTTATAAGTCTTCACCAACAACAATGTCTTGTATGAAACGCAGACGAAAGAAACATTTCAATAATTAAGGTTCAACTGATAAATAGCTATAATAGTAAAATAAGAGGTTATCACTGATTGGATGAGTCAAAACACTTGTATAATCATCAGACATTTATATGTAAATATGTATTATGGAGAAAGCTTAACACTTCAATGAACATTCACTAAGGGGCCATTTACCAAATGCTTACTCGGGTAAGTGAACATCAAGTCACATTATCTTATCGGATGAAAATGGTATGGACCAAGAATCTTACCGGATAAGAGCGAAATAAGGACCAAGAGTCTTATTCGGTAAGTGAGGGCGACGACTCTTACCATGATAAGCGTTTACCGGGTAAATTATTGCATACGATATCGTTTTGGTGGATTAAAATCTTACCGGGTAAGTAAATTATAGTGTTAAATTTTACCGGTAAGCGCTTACCGGGTAAGTGTTTAGTAAACGGCCCCTAAGTGATTTTCTGGTCCTGATTTATCCAACAATAAAGAAGTAGCATCATGCTATTTAGGTTGAAATTGTTAGATTTAAGATTTATGTCTTGGGATTGTGGAAGCCTTTATGCATCATGTAGTGGTACCTTAAACTCTTAAACTTGTCTTTTAAGACTTTATGAAATTAGGTTTATAAGGTCGTATAGAAGTATAGATCGATATATGCAGCCGTAAGAAACTACTTGAGTTATGAAACAACGATCAGAATACTTCAGTTTTGAGGCAATACTTACCTGCCTCTAGAGATGGTTTTAGTTTAGCTACATAGATGCATTTTGTATATTTGCAAAAGAACTAAATAATACAAGTTGACTATTTTCTTTTAATAGTGGTTTTGTGCACTTCTATGCAGTACATGAATAACATACTTATCCAGCGAGGCTTTCTAATTGAACTTCAACATATTAATATCGATTCAAAAACTAAAAATGATTTAAAATCGTAGAAAGGGATGAAAGGGGGATACCAACAGAGATTGCACTTTGGATCTCAACACACTTGAACAGAACCTCCTGGTCATCTTCTTCAATCAACGTATTCCGTTGGTTGTGACTTCCACTCCACCACAACAAAATCCACGATTATTTGCAAACGGTCACAAATTGCAACATCGGTAATTAGAAATTAGGTTATGAAAATAAAAGCAGATGCCATAGAGAAACCCTAGAAATTGAACAATATGGTAAAAGAAATAAACATGCTAACAAAAATCGATAATTAGAAATTAAGTTGCCAAAATAAAACAGATGCCATAGAAAAAACCCTAGAAATTGAACAATATGGTAATGGAAACAAACCTTGGAAAATTGGATGCTTGTATTCTAGAAAACAAAAATAAGATACTTTGAAAATCTGCTTCAAATTTATACGAGTAGAGGATGTGAAGTATCTCTATCTAAATCGGTTGAGCAGTTGAAATCGGTAGGACGATATGCACGAAGCACTTGAAATTGATAGAACGATATGCACGACGAAGAGGCTGTTTGAAATTAAATTAGAGAAGGATATGGAAGAATCTGGTTGAAATCGAATAGAGATGAGGGATATGCACGAAGCACTTGAAATCGATAGAACGATATGCACGACGAAGAGGCTGTTTGAAATTAAAATAGAGAAGGATATGGAAGAATCTGGTTGAAATCGAATAGAGATGAGGGATATGGACGAATACAGAGGAGGGATATGGATGGTGGAATTGAGGATATGGAAGAATCTGGTTGAAATCGAATAGAGATAATTGGATACCCGCGCAATGCGGCAGGATATGAATGTTTTTTTTAAATCGAAAGTATGACGTTTATGATCATTATAAACTTCAAATTTTATTACGGTTGATTGACCGAAGATATCGTTTAGGGATGAAAATCGGTTGGGGATGATATTGTTTAGGGAGGGCGATGAAATCGTTTAGGGTTTATGAAATCGAACTGGGTTAGGGATGAAATCGAATCTGTATTCTCAAAATCTGTTGGCGATGAAATCAGATAGGGATGAAATTGTTTAGGGAGGGAATTGAGTTTCTGTTGGCGATGAAATAGGATAGGGATGAATGGGTTTAGGGATCGCTTTAATAAGTTGTACCATTAACAATAGAGATTGTTTTTAAGAGTTTTAGCTAAATGTTTTATAAGATAGTATATGTATAATTTATTGATTTAAAATTACCCGGCTGGTTCATTTGCTTGGAACTTAATCTGGGTTCATGATAAGGACAAGGACTCGACCCACCAACACAATTGGAAAACAAGAAAAAATATCACTCTCTCACACACACAATCTCTCTCACACACACTCCACACCACTCCACACCACACCATAACTTTCCCTCTTCTCTCTCTCTCCTCCATAACCCTGCTCCCAAAAATGGAGGACTCTGCAACTTCTGTGACATCAATCTGGGCTTCCCTCAACAGTTGGTTCACTTCCACCGTCCTCTTCATCCTCCTCAACCTCATGATTGCCACCATTGTCTTCACCTCCAACTTACCCAACAACAATCAACAACAACAGGAAGAAGAAGAAGAAAACCCAAAGCAAAATTCTCCAACCGACAACCACCGGAATCAACCCAAAATCTCCAGATCTCCCTCCATCCTCCACCGTCTCAAGTCCTTTAACTTCTACCCCCAAAGACCCGAACTGGAATTTTCTCCAGATACGCACTACCACTTACAACCTTTAGAAGTTGCAGCTACACAGTATGTATTCAATCAACCTATCCAATATGAACATTTCGATTTCGATCCAACAGCTTCCGATCAGGTTGCGGACGTCCCTCAGTTATCTGCTCGCAATCGAACCCATGAAGTAGGATTATCTGGTTTGGAGACCCATGTTGTTTGGGAACAGCAGCAATCCTTGGAAACAGTGATGAACCATTTCGATTCTGACCCGACCCACCAAGAGATCCTGAAAGATACGGATTCTGAAAACGCCCATGAAGAAGAAGAACAGACCGACAAATTCCAGAGTTTGGATGAGGTGTACAGTCGGCTGAAAGGCGGGAACGTCGACAGAAGCAATTCCGATGGGGCTATTCCACGGAAGCCACCGGCGAAGATGAAGAAATCGGCGAGTTTGAAAGTGGGTTTTTCGCATTTCGAGGAGGAAGAGATCGTGGAGGCTCGGCGGCCGGCGACCATGAGAGAGAGAAAGTCTGCGGTTAGGGCGACGGAGGACGATGATGTGGAGGTGGATGCGAAGGCGGATGACTTCATCAACAAGTTCAAGAATGACCTGATGTTGCAGAGGATCGAGTCGATTGCCGGACGAAGTAAGTAGAGGGACTGCCAAGTAAAATACTTAATTTACTGGGTGTTTTCTGTGACAATTCCAAAACCCCAAGGATTATTTTGAAAGTTAGGTTTTAAAGAAAGATGCACATATCGAAATGAAGCCCTTTTAGGTCAAATTTTCACGTGGGGCATTTTGGTTGATGTGGAGTTTGTTTATTGGATTTGAGTGAAGAGAAATGAATTTACTATAAAGCCCTTTGTTGGTGACGTCAATTTTATAGACCATACTTGCCGATTGTCACTAGGACCATTCTGTAATCTAGAGGGTACAATGGTAACTTTTGCTAGTATTTATTTTGGGGTGGGCTAATGGCACCCCTAGCCATTGCCAATGGCACCC